GAATATATGGTATATTTTTGATAACTGAACATCTTGAAGTGTATATGATGGTGCTTGTATGTGAACTTGAAGCCATTTCTTAAAGATAGCAATTTCATGAATTATATTTTGTTGTTCATTGATAGCTTTGAAGATAACTTTAGCAGACTTGATCTAAACTTGGATAGATTTTGCAAATATAAGTAAAAGATAACTAAACTTACTTCGGTTTGTCTTGGCTTCATTTGATAAAAATGTTCAACAAGTTTATGTTCTTCAGCATCTAATCGAAGCATTGTTTTTCTTCTGTTAAGTTCAAGTTGTAATTCATATTGATCATTTTGGATTAAATTGTTGATGATAGTTGTCATATTTTGTAAATTAATATTCACTGGTGCTTGTTTCAAGTTGTGTGTGTGTGTTATATGATGACAAGAAATGATAAACCATCCATCATTTGGTTTGTTTTCACTGGGAAAAAACCCAAAAGAAATAACAGAGAAAGTATATGACAAGCATGTACAGTAGATGAAATCACAGGTATGAATGAAAAAAAAAACGAAGCTGTCTAATAGAAAATAGTCACACTTGGTTGATTAGGTAGTATATGTTGAAAAAAAAAGAAAAATTACGAAAACCTATAAATACTACAATCCCTTGCAGAGTTACTTCACATAGCAAGCATATTTCAATATTACTTGGTAAGTAGTCTTATTTAGTAGTCGATATTTTTCAAGGGGGAAAAAAGGAATTTGGGATTTTACAGATTCTAAAATCGAAAGAAGATTTTTTGGGTTTTTTTTAGATTTTTGAGATTTTTTTCGAACTTTTAAACTTCTTATTCCTTGTCTATCAGTTAAATATCGTATCTCCTATTGTAAAGCAAGGCCATATCATCACGAGATACATTGACTTTGATTAAATTAATAGTCTTCTCTCATTCATAACAGTGGCATTCTTGAAGACTTTTGACCAGTCCTTTCGTCAAAGTGTATGTAAAAAAAGGTTGCAAAACGCTCAATGTCTTCTAATTTTTGTGTTCATTCATACTAGGATTTTCGTCACCTTTCGTTGTCATGTATTGAGTCTCCTTATGTATGGCTATCTCAAGAAAGGTTAAGAATCGTATGTGCTAAAAAAAAAGTAGTTAATCATATGCCAAGAAGGAATAGCGAATTTAGGGATTTTTAAGTTTCTTTGAAGTTTTTCGAGTTTTCTCGCATTTTCTCAGATTTTGTTGTTGTATATTAACATAATTTCAACCCGGTATGCCATATCTCATCATTCAAATTGCCTGTTTTTTCTTCAAGACTATCTCGCTTCTTTCTCTCACTTTCGGAGAAAGGCTGGCAGAAAACTATATTTTTCAGACCAACTTGATGTCAATTAATACATGAAAAGTTATCATAGGCTTTAATTAGCTGACTATTTCCTTCAAGCAGATATTATAGTCTCGATGAGTCAAAATAACCACTATTTTCGTCATTTTCTCCAACATGGTAGGTGCCAGAGTTCCCCACAATGATAAAACTCGGTCTCACGCCCTCTGTCTCGTCTCATTTCACGTCTTACTTTCTACTATACTCCGCGCTACTTTCCATTTTTCAGTCGTGTTCCGACCTGTCTATTTCTCAAGAATTGTTTCGAACTGTTTTATTAGCGTAACAGGATCTTTTCGATTAACAATGGTTAAGTTAATTATGTTTCCCATAGATGAAATGTTCTTGACGAGGAGTTACGAAAAACTATTTTTTGTTAGCTCAAATGGAAGGAAACAGTCTGGATGGGGCGAAGAAAATTCTAGTTCCATCCTGTTTCATCCTACTTCATGTACATCCTATTTTTCAGCCTCGTTTCTTCCTAGAAGTGAACAAAATTGTATTTGTCCCGCGGTTCACTGTGTTCTGGTATGTCTAATAAAACTGAAACTTTTTATACAGATTCTATTTACTATTCGGGATGCAAAATCATCCCGAAAAAACTGAAATATCAAGAGCTCTGTGAGAAACGATAGTTTACAACTGAGACTAATTTTGTAAAATCTATAAAAATCAAGGGGGGGAAAGCAGATTTGGGATTTTGGGATTATTTCGAATTCTTTCGGATTTCGTTGGACTTTTTTGGATTTTTTTGGGTTTTTTGGATTTTCTTGGATATTCCTATTTTTTCGCGCTGTTTTGAGTTTTTAAGATTTTCCTCAGCTTTTTTGTTTGATATTAGATTAATTTCAACCTGCCATCACCACTTCTTTTCATATGAGCTACTTCATAGCTTCCTGCAGCTACTCAGGAGTATGTACTTGAAGCCCCTGAAGGCCTACCATACAATCGAATCAATAGGTCCTCAAGGGCTATCTTATGGAAGTACCCATCAGTTCGGATGGCATATCCTACGGGGTACCCATAATTTCTGATCACCCGTCGTATGGGGCATCCATAAATTTCCATGACTTATCCTATAGTAGTACGAATAAGTCTGTGTGGTCTATCTTATGGTGGCACTCGTAAGTCCTCATTCCCTATCCTATGCAGTACTTATAAGTCCTCATGGTCTATCCTATAGGAAAATTCATAAGTCCTCATGGCTTATCCTATAGGAAATCTATAAATCCCTATGGTCTATCCTATAATGGTACCAATAAGTCTGTATGACCTATCCTATAGAGGAACTGGTAAGTCCTCATGGCCTATCCTATAGTGGTACCCATTAGTCCACATGGCCAATTGATGTTTGGTATAGTTACATTTTCAAATACTGTCTTATAGTAGTTCTGCTTCCTATTCAAGGGCTCTCCTGTGGAAGAATGTTGAGTACCGCTAACTGCTCAAGAAATATCTAGCATTAGTCGTCGTAAATTTTCAAGAGCTTTTAGGCACAGGATGGGTAACTGTTACACGGACGCCACTCGTCCATCATCCGCTAACTGGATTTTAATGTAGTATAGAATACTGGTTTAAGAGTCACATAACAATCGTGTATTTGATTTTTTCGTTAAGAAGTAAAAGTGGACTCTTCTTTTCGGCTTGCGTCATTGAGGGAAGTTATGAAGTGGTTTTAATTCACAATTAGTATTATTTCAAGGCCATTGCGTTTGACAAATTGGGCTCAACTTTGAATTCCTCTTTAATCACATATAGATTGAACCTTAGGTGCATCACAACTCCAGTTCCACAGCTCCCAAGAGCTCAGTCGAAGTGCTGATAGACAGCATCAGCTCAGCGAACGGAACCGGAGCTGTCACAAATCTACCTATAGGTATCCCTATAGAACAGCTTTGAGGATCTATGAGTATATCCATAGAATAGGCGATGAGGACATATGGTTACCTTCATAAGATAGCTTCTCGGGACTTACAAGTATTCCATAAGATAGGCTATAATGACTTATGAGTACGCCTATAAGATATGCGTTGAAGACTTATGAATACCCACATAGGATAGTTCTTGAGGACTTCTTGTATTTCCGTAGGACAGGTCATGAGGACTTATGGATACCCGTCATAGGATAGACCTTAACCTTTTGGATACCAGATTATTTTTGTGCACTAAAAATTCTACTGTACAAAACTAACTTGTATTCAACAGGTTAAGAGAAATAGTTACTAATCATCAATAAATATAGATGCTCTCAGCCGCACAGACACTCTAAACATACATATTCATGTGTTTATGTCATTAAAAAAGGGAGCAGATCATATTGTTTAAAGTTATTCAAGCGCCAAAATCTCAGGATGCGAATTCGCGTCGCCGGTACTCAAAGGGTTACGGAATTATGGATATTCTATAGGATAGGAGATCATGGCTTATGAGTTCTCTCATAGGATTTCCCTAGAGCACTGACCGGTAACCCATAATATAGGCTTTGAGGACTTATGTGTACCTCCATAGGATACGTCTTGTGGAGTTATGAGTACCCATATGATAGGCGATGATAACTTATGGATACTCTGATAGGATAGGCATTGAGGACTTATGACACTTCCATAGAATTCATCATTAGAACTTATCGGCTTCCTATAGAATGCATCATTTTCTCGGGATTCCCATGGTGCTACTTGGATTTCAAGGATTCCCATTGTGCTTATAGGGATGTAGAACTTGTGAATTTATTCCCTAGTCGAGAATCCCTTTACGAATCTCCGGGTAGTCCCCAAGAAAAATCCCCGGAGACTCACGACAGGGAGACCTCAGGAATTTATGAGGTAGTTAAGAACTCTCCACGAATTTACGTGGGAGTCTTTGGGGATTTGCAGGGACTCCCCTGAAATATACCATGAGACTTACGACGACTGTAAACGATCATATACGACGTTTTTATCATAATATCTACCCCTAGTGAAATCTCATTATAAAGGGTTCCTCGAAATCTCCCGGGAATCACGACAGGAACTCCCCCAGGGAGTGAGGGGGAGTGTGGGACTCTCCATTGATTCATTTGGGGACTGTCGACTAGGGACCTTTTCTCATATGTGTAGCAGCCTTTAAAACTGGTTATCTATGTCCGACGCACGTGAAAATATGATCAGAGTATGTTGTTGAAGACTACTCTAGATTTTGGGTTTTTTTGGATTTCTTTGTACTTTTTGAGATTTTTTGGAATTTTTTGGGATTTTTTCAGATTTTCTCAGATTTTTTTGGATTTGTTCGGATTTTCTCGAATTTAAGATCCAAAAAAATCCGCTTTTCCCCCTTGTCACAAACTCATTTTATCTTAAACGACTCTCTCTGCAGTGGACGGATTAAGTCATATAACAACGCAAATAAAATGAGACTGAGCAAGTTCTCAAACAGAGATTTATTAGAGCACGCAGATTTTCTTTAATTGGAGTCTTTGAAAATCTTTAGAAATCTTTGGAGATGTCTAGAAGCCTTTAGAAATCTTTGGAGATGTCTAGAAATCTCTAGAAATCTTTGGAAATCTTTCAGAAACTTGTAATCTTGAAATCTGCTTTTTCCCCCTTGGGGATCTGGGTGTAGCTTGCGCGGGTGGGGTGTGGTTGTGGGCGAAAGTGTGCGTTAGTATCTCTTCCTCTGCAATCCAACATGAGTACCTGCACCCACAAGCACACAGCATCCCACCCCAATGCACATCCTAAACGCACACCCACACCCACACCCAGACCCATATCATACACCCATAGTCGCAACACGATCCACACCCAATGCACATCCTAAAAAACCCAAAATCTAGAGTAGTCTTCAACAACATACTCTGATCATAT